GTTGGATCCACCTGAGTGGGGATGTAACGGACGGTTTCTTCCGCGAGAGGGCGGGGGTCTGGCTCGATTTTGACGTTTCGCGCGCGTGGCGATCCGAAGCATCGCGGCGAGGACGCCCCTTTTCTGTTCCCGTCCTCGAAGACGCGGGATGTCGGCGAATGGGGCTTTCCCGCACGCGCGGGCGGGCGGAGCACCCGGAAGGCCGGGGACCCCCGATTCGACGACGACGCCGTGGGGGTGTTTTCGCTGAGCAACGACGGTGATAAGGAGCCTCGATGGGGGGTGAGGGTGGCGCGAAGCCCCTGGAGCTCGCGCTCGAGCGCGGTGATGTAGGAGTCCTTCTCCTGCACCGCGCATTTCAGCCACGCGAAGTAGGAACGCACCTCGTCCAGGCTGTGAGCCGGCAACTCTCGGATGCGGCCCGCTAAGTAATCCGAAACGCGTGATCGAAGGGCTATCATGACATCCGAATCCTCGATACTCGTCATCTTCTGGTTGATACACGAAAAAAAAAAGAAAGCAAGAAAAAAAAAGAGAGAAGACGAGTCAGAAGGTAAACGTGTTAGTGGTCGAAGGAAGATCACTATTACGTCCTTAGTAGGATATCGACTGCGTGCTGACAAAGAAGGACGTGTCTTAGGGGAGAATCCCTCTCTCTCACTCTCTCTCTAGCTATCTCTCTCTCTCTATTGTTTTTTTTATTATTCTTGCTAAATTGATACCCCTTAATCCTGTAAGACAAAAGTAGATATTAGAAAACAGAAATGTAACGATATTCTACACCACCAGTGTACACACCAACCCCCCCCCCCAGGGAATTTATGCTGAAGGAAGCCCACCAGGGCAAGATTCATCCTAGATTTGTAATCTCCCTCTTTGCCACTAAGAAAAAAAAATGGTTGCGTAAAGCCTAAATGGATGGACACCAAGTTCAGTTACTTTGGAAATAACTGTGGATTCCCTTAGTTGCACGTATGCGTGCCTGTTTAGGGATATCCTCATATCAGCAAGACTAGCGAGTGAGCCAATAATAACAATAATGATAATAGTAGGCAAAATAAAAGTTAGGATCATTTTTTTTATAGTTTGTTGACTTACTTGATTCCATTAAATTGTCCTACCGCAGCCCACCCCGTCATTCTCACAACACATTCGATGTCCTTCCTATATAATAAACTAACAAAAATGAAACCATGCAAATTGAACAGACTAAGGGTAATACATTAACTAATAATATTTTTTTTACGCTATGCTACAATTTCTTTTTTTTTCCAAAGTAGCTATTTGTGTGTGCACACACGTGCCGCATGTGCCCAGTAAATATAGTCATCACTATCATTTTGATTTCTCCCGTTAAAAATTAACTCACGTTGTTCTTTTTTGCATCAATATGGAGAAAAGATAAAAGTATGGCACATTCTCCCATTTTCCACAAACAAAAATGCACAAAAGAATTAAAAATAAGGGATACCACAAAGAGTATTGCATCGATCGTAAAAGGTTTTTTATTGTTTATTAAGAAAAAAAACTTTTGAAGAGGAAAAAAATGATCCTACAAGACGAATTCTCATTAGACGACATCTCATTAGTTCGCCTCTCTCTCTACGCAGTTCGCAGAGAGGAGAAAAAGTTATGGAGGAGATCCTATAAATATTTCTTTCCATTGCACTATGTCTCCATTGCTGATCAATCTGTTCCAGTAGAAACAAAAAAAGAAATAAAAACATCTTCCCTATGCCCTATTCAACACCAGACCACATCCATTATAGCAAAAGCTGGGAACTCAACAAGTCAGACAATCAGAGAAAGAAAAAAAAGCACTAGGATTATATAAACATATTATATTTCAATTGTATAACATAAAGACGAAGTTCCAAATTGAAAAAAAAAAATAATAATACTAAAGTCCTGTTAAAGCGCATCAAGAATAGGAATAAGCATTCCCGATATGATGATATAATAGCGTTTCGTCGTCTAAACGCTATTCACACACTTAAAAGGCTACAATGATTAGCACAAAAGAGAAATCCTCCTCCTCCCAAACATGCGCTTTTTCCCCCGGTATAATACGAAAAGACACCCTAAAATATCTGCACCTCACAGTCATTCCATTAGACAGGATTTTCCATCTTGAAGGGGGAAGAACAGGGAATCATAAAAAGGATTTTATATATGCCAATTGCTCGAATTTTCTGAATCGTCTAGACTACATGTCCCCCTACCCCCCCCTCCTGTGGGTAGCTCTATGACGAGAAATGTAACTGCAGCACACGCTCACCCGACGATCCTATTCTATACAACATGGCCGATAAAAATGTATAGGCATCCATTTACATCTATTCACCCTGCCGTCATGCAAACAGGGGAAAAATAACGAAGAAAAAAAAAAGAAAACCGAAATGATGCCTCCACTTTTCTTTCCTGGTGTGTACGGGGAAGGGGGGGAAGTTTTACCCCTCGTTTCTTCCATTCAATAACCCCACGCGTTTGGAGAGAATGTGGGATGATGGTTCCCGATCCCCCAAACATCCCCCCCCCCCCACACACACACACAGACAGACAGACAGTCATATGCACCCCCTATCGATATCGAGGTACCCCCCCCAAAAAAAAAAAAACACTAAAAACGCCGTCGACTCCGCCCCGTTCGCTTTTACTCGATCTGAAGGAGGTAGATATTCCCAAAAGCGTCACCGAACGCGGTGAGGGCGTGATTCCCGACGGTAAGGCAGTACACCGGGGCGCGGCCGTAGGTGCTCGCGACCTCGCGCCCCGTCTGGATATCAATCACATACACAAACCGGTTGCTGCAGGCCGCGACGCAGTAGTTCGTGAAGCCGCCGGGGGCGCGGCAGGAGAGGGTCCAGAGGAGCTTCCCGGGCCCCCGGGCGCCCGCGACGTCCGCCGGGGAGAGCGACCGCACGCAGCTGCCATCGTCGACCCGCCACACCTTCAACGCGGCCTCGTCGTTGCTGATGATGAAGCGCCCGTCGGCGGAGTAGCTGCAGGAGAGGATGATCCCGCGGTGGCCGACGAGCGTCAGCCGCGTCTTCCCGCTCGTCGCGGACCACACCTGCAGGGTGCGGTCGGCCGAGGAGCTGCAGACGAAGGACCCGCACGGGCTGAAGGCGACGGAGATGATGATCCCGCGATGGCGCTCGTAGCGCAGCCACTCCCGCCCCCGCGAGGTATCCCAGAGCCGACAAACCCGATCCTGGCAGCCGCTCACGAGGTATTTGCTATCCGGCGAGAAGCAGCAGCAGATCACCACCCGCGCGTGCTTGAAGGTGACCATCCGCTTCGCCGTCATCACATCCCACAGGATCATCGTCTGATCCTTGCTCGTCGTCGCCAGGTACTTCCCGTCGGCGGAGAAGCTCGCGCTGATGACGTTGTCGAGGTGCCCGGTAAAGATCCCGACCTCCGCGCGCGCGTCGAGGCTGTAGAGGGAAACCGACGCGTCCTCGGCGCTGCAGCTCGCGAACTCCCGCTCCGTTGGGGAGAGCGCCATGCACTTCACCCGACTCGCGTGGCCGAGGAAG